TCAGGGTTTACAAATGCATGATGGCATTTGGATTTTATCAGTCACATCCTAATGCTTTAGGATAAGCTCAGAACTTGATTTAAGGTAATTAACATGCCAAGAGGTTTATTTTAAATGCCTGCTTTTCTTTCCCTAGAGGTGACTTAGATTGCCTCCACCTGCAGTAAAACTAAACACTTATTTATTGATTAAACCCACTGGCATTAAAAAAGTCTGTTATTAAATGGTATTCTACTGCCAAAATTTATTTGCAAAGCAATAGTCACAACCCTTAAAAAGTAATTTAACCTGCACAGCTATTAGAGCCAAGAATGAGATTGAAAGAAGACTCTGTTTGAAAAGAGCATCAAATTTGATAATTACTGCAGTGGATGTCTGTGCTGGCCATTGTTTTGGTACCTAAATCTTGATCAAGAGCCCTGGCAGTGAACAGACAGTGCATCTTGAACATGTCTCACCCATGTATGGTGGTATTTTCCAGCTGTAGAAAAGTACTTGAGAAAAGTTATGCAGTGTGGCCTTACCATTCATTTTGCTGCCTGTTGCCAGCTAACTTGACTGAACAGAACAAACATTGCTGTTACTGAGCAGACCCTTGGAATACACTGATTTTTGAATGCTTTACACATTAAAGATGTCATCTCTGGGATGCTCAGGAAGCTTTTTTTGCACAGGCTGCTCCAGGAGAGGAGAAGGCACTTTTTTTTTTTTTTTTTTTTGGTGTAAGTCTGCCACACATACAAAAACAGCAAAAGAAAATCACAGTCTGCATGACAAAAAAGGATGCAGAGCAGTGCAATGTCAAATAGGAAAGAGGGATGGTTGAGTTTTCAGCTGGGAAAAAAGACAACAGGAGACAGGATCTATCTGTGCTTATGTGAAACCTGTGCAGCTTCTATATATTGAAGGAAACAGAAGCTGCTTGAGAAGCCAGGTAAATCTCTTCTTACCACTCCAGACTGCATATGGGAAAGGTGGACTGCATCCTGCTTAGCTAGTCCTGTAAACCTATTGTGATTTTACTGACTTCTGTGGGCATACCAGTAAACTCTCCTTCTATTTATCACAACTGCACATCTAATTAAACAGCTTACAAAGTGGGGTGTGGAGGAACAGCAGACTGCTAAAGGGTCTGCACTGCACTGCAGGTGTGTGTTGCTTTCTGTCCAGTACTGTGGGATTCCACAGTTGAGGAAGAAAAATCCCAGTAAGACATGTCTGCTCAAACACAAAACCCTTCAACTCCGAGAAGCACGGGTTTGGCTAATAGAACCACCACTTTATACTTTTAATGCTTGGCTCTATTAGGGTATATAATTAAATGCAACATACCATTGTGTCATTTGATTTATCCCTTTTTGCTCCAACATAGTACTATTACATGATGGTAAATCTTCTCTAGCTTATGCTCTTCTTCCATCTGCCACATCTTGTTTCTTCCTTTTCCTCTTCTTCTCTTCACGTATTTGTTTGTTTATTTTTATGTTATTTAGTTTTTATTCAGCTGCTCGCTGCATTAGCCTCAGCATTAGGCAGCTTGGAAATCATCCTGCCAAGAAATGCACTACACACCCCGGCAGCAATAGAAAACAAGCATCAGAGAACTTAGCAGCAGGCCCAGGTACCCATTCTAAATTAATCATGGCTCTAGCAAAATTATTATGACAATGCAAAACAAAGAAGCCACTCATCAGTGCAGGAAAACCACAGCAAAAAAGCCTGGATACAGAGAGCAACTGGGTGAAGAGACATCTGACACTACTGGACTGAATATGTGTCATTGCAGATCTGCATGAAGTGTTCTGTCTGGGCTGAAACAGCGATGGTGAACACCAATAAACTCAGGTCCCTGGCAGTGCTGTTGGGCATCCTCTCTCTGCCCACAGGCAAGGGGGAGGCTGTGCTTGTCCACCTAATCCAGTCAGGGCTCAGCATGGGTTTTGTCAACCTTGAAGCTTCAAGAGTTGAAGCAGAAGCCAGACTCAGCATGAGACTTCCATGTCCAGAGTGGCTAAGGAGAAGCCAGCTGACAACGTTCCTCTGCAAAACCAATGTTTAGTTTCATGCCTACGTTCTTATCCTTCCTGCTATTATAAAATGTTCTTCCGTTTCTTGGATGTGAGCAACTGTGATACAACAGTGACTCATGTTTCCATGTCTTTAGTCGCATTACACTGAAAGGAAAATCCACGTCTAAGTGCTGCACAATTGCAAAAGGTAAGTTTTACAGACCCCAACAGCATCATAACAAGGCCCAAACAGCAACAATATGGTAATTCTGGACTCAAAGTGCATGAGGCTCTGGGCATGGCTGCATAGTTGCTAACAGATTTATGCAGCAGTTCCAGCTGCCTGGGCTCAGCCAGCCAGCACTGCTGCTGAAACCCCTTAAATCCATGGCTGTGGAGAAAGCCCCTAGACCAGTGCTCATGGAGGCCCCGTTGCATGGTGCCATTTGGCACAGACTAGTTTTCTGGTAGCGGGGGAGGGCCACAGAAGTGGTTTTGTGAGAAGATGCTAGAAGCATTCACCATGTCCAACAGAGCCAATTTCTGATGGCTCTGAAGATGAAAATGCCGCTGGCCCACTTAAGAGGTTGGTAATGCTTCTGTGATGACCTGTTTAAGAAGAAAATCAAAACAGCACACGGACAGTTTATTTTCCAGGGGTGGTGAGGTGCCACCACCAGGGCCATCCCAGTGCAGCACACAATGATGTGCTGCAGCCACTGCCATCCCAGCACGGCCTGCAGCGAGCCTTGCCTGCCTGGCCACCCCCAGGCAGCCATGCCAGGGCAGCAGGGCAGGGCTGGCGGTGGCCTCTCCTTCCCAGCCCTGCCTGATGAGAGGTGTTGAACAGCTCCAGCCCCAGCCCCACTGCCCGCTCAGTGCTGCGGGGCCGACAGTGGAAACACAGAGAGTGATTGTCTGGCACAGAACCTAGACGAGATCAACCTTTCAGTGCTGTGGGATCTTGGAAGAATCTTTGAATTGGAGGAACTTGTTAGCAATAGTGCAGGCAAAAGTTTTTCTTCTAGTCAGAGAAGAGGAGGAAGTGAGGACACGTGAGGGAGAACAACATGGTGGCACCAAGGTCAGTGGAAAAAGGGAGAGGAGGTGCTCCAAGCACCAGAGCTGAGATTCCTCTGCAGGCCATGGTGAGGACTATGGTGAAGCAGCTGTCACCCTGCAGCCCATGAAGTCCATGGAGGATGCAGAGATCCACTCACAGCCTATGGGAGAAGTGCTCACACTAACAGCTGGATGCCAGAGAAAGCTGTGATCTAGTGGGAGACCTGAATGGAGAGAGAGAGGGCTCCTGCTTCCAGAGATAGAGAGCCCTTGTTTCCCAACTAGAGCAGCCTATTCTTAGAGGACTGCACCCCATGGACAAGGGACCCACATCACAGTAGTTTTGGGAAGACTGTTTGCCCACGGGATGCACTCATTTGGCAGCAGTTTTGGCAAAACTGCTGCTCTGAGATTAGAGACACATTACAGAAATTTACAGAGAACTGTCTCCCATGGGAGGGACCCCACAGCACAGCAGAGGGAATACTCCTCTCCCTAAGCAAACAGAAGTTGATATCCAGTGACAAACTGACCAAAACCCCCACACCCTCTCTCTCCCTGTACTGTCAATGGGAAGGAGGGAGGGGCTGGGGGAAAAAAGATGCTTTAAAGGCGTATTTTACTTCTCATTATCCTCCTTTAACTCTGTTTACAATAAATTTACTTTATACTTTTAATTTTCAACCTGTTTTTCCCTTAGAGTGTTTTCTCCCAGTCCTCATCTCAACTCATGAGCCCTTGATTAATTTTTTTTCCCTCTCCTCTGCCCAGCTGAGAGCAAGAGAGGGTGAGTGAATGGCTTTGTGGATGCCTGGCATTTGGCCAGTGTCAAACCACAACACATGGCCTCTGTTTCCATCCAGCGGAGCAGCGCAGCTGCAGTGCTGGCTGCTGGCTCCACCGCCTCCTCAGCCTGCAGACTAAGTGCTCCAATGCAACCTGCAGAAAATACCTGTAACTGAGAGCCTCTCCCCTTCAAGGATCCTGACTGAAGAAGCACTCAAATACCTGACATTCACACTATTTCAATGAGTCACACTCCATTACTCAAGAATCAGTACTTTAATTGCCTGACCTTCCCAACAAACACTTGTATGCTGAACATAACCAGGAGCAGAAACAGTTTTACTCTGTGGCAGGGATTTTTCTCTGCTTTAATTTTTGAAGGATTTGTATGAGGAGTTTCAATCTGAGGTCAAAACTGCACATTTGAATCATGTGGTTAAATTTATGGTTAAAATTGGTAGAAATGTAACCAATGCACGTCATACTCTAGAGATTACTTAAAGAAAGCACTAGAGAACAAGACTTAGGAAAACACTGGAACAGTCAAGCACTCCACCCATTAGAATGTAGTGCCTATTATGGTACCTTAGTACCTATTATGGTACTAAGAGAAAAAAAAAATGCAGTGTTCTCTGTGATGCTCATTGAGACTGCTTGGTTAAATTTGTTTCCTCAAATCCAAGACTCTTCTCATCACCACATTTGAACAGCTTGCATAAATAAGGTACAGTACAGGAATTGTATGTGCCTCTAATTAAGATCTGAACATTCAGAAATGCAACACTTCTCAAAAACAAAAGTCATCAGGATGTAAAGCAGCAGAGACTCTGCTTCTCAGGAGTAAAAACTTCCCATGGGGCCCACTTTCCTGACGCCCAAACTCCCAGAAATATTTTATTGGCAAACTCCACAAAATAGTTTTATGACTTGGGAGACTTATCTGAAACTTCAGGACTTCATTTCTCAGACCATTAACACTGAATTTCTATTCCTTCAGGAGCAGCCAGGCTTTGATGTTGACAGGAAAAGGAGTCTCAGAAGGAAAATCCACTCCATACACAGGTTCATGACTACAGCAGCACTGTACAGCTCTACTGAAAGAAAGAGCATAGCCATGAGAACACAGACTTTACAACCTTGAGATTAAGATGAGCTCAAATGTGTATTTGACAAAAATACAGAAATATCCACTGTCATATTCTAATAATACAGAAGTTACTTTGCTTTGGATAAAATGTATTTGATAATTTAAGGTTAAAACAACTGTCCATATGCATTAGTACTCAGCAAAGTAAAAAATATCAAGTCTTTACACTCAGGCAGAAAAGACAAACTGACTTATTTGACTGCAACTTCTTTCAGGCCAAGAGGTCTCTTGGTCAGTAGTGCCCTTAGTCTGACTCCACCTTTCTCTGTCTGTGCCTCCTTCTTTACATTCTGGGCCTTCTGCCCAAATCCAGACCAACTGGCCAAGACCTCAGCCTCTAAAAGCCTCACATAGAGACTATGCAAAACATCTTCAGTTTTAACAGTTGTACCAACCATCCTTAAAAAAATAAAACAAACAGAACCTCTCCTGCCCTGATCATCTGAAGAATCCTTAAGGGTCCAGGCTAAAACGTCAGCTTCCTAACAAGGCCTTTCGTGTAGCCCTGAGGTAGTTTCTGTCCGAGGACATTCAGAGCTCAATCTTATGCAGGCCACAGTTACACTAATGGACTGGGTTCAGTACACAAGTGCCCTCTGCTGCCCCACTCTTTGGGTTTTGCTTTGTACTTACACGCACGTTAATAAATCAAAGCTATTTAAGGAAACCAACATGACAGCCATTAATGCAACCATGCCAAACAAGAAGACAAGTGCCATGGGTAAGGAGGGTAAGAGCTCTCTCTGCCTCATCCTTCCCTCCCTTCTTGTTTCTATCTGTTTTCAAAGCCTTTCTTCATCCATGCCTGGGTTTTTTGGTAAAATCAGCTGAACCACATTAGCAGGAGGCAGGAATTAAGACACATAGAGCCTAAGGCCACATATTAAGAAAGGTATGCCTCCTCCCTTCTCAGTGGGAAAAGCTTTCCAGAACCAGCCAGTGCAATGGTGAAGCAGATGGTGATGACAGGTGGGGGTTTTAGTTTTTATTTTAGCTTCTGGAATTAATCAGCATAGCCACCCCACAGAAGCATCCTGTGGTCTGGGGAAGTTGGCTTCACTGAAAGAATGCAAGTGAAACTAAGGCTTTCTCCAACAGCAATAACAACCCTGCCACTCCCCCTGCCCACCACTCTTGAAGCACTTTGTCATTTCATTCATCTATTAAGAAATCTCTAGAGACTATTTCCCTAATCCTACTCTAAATACAGGTCTGCAGTTTGGATAGTGTTTTCTTGATACCAAATGGAAGTAGGGTCAAGTTTCAAGGCTGCTGTAAAATCAAAGGCAAAGTTGCCCTCTAGCCCCATCTTACTTTCAAGCCTTTTCTGTTGTCTGTTCATAGCTAGCAATTTTGAATTTGAATTTGTTCTTTTATAGAAGCCATACAGCACTGTAGTGTAACAGGACAAATGTGACACCTGCAGAAAATGCAGCATAATCAGAGATTAAGATGGCACTGTGATTTCTCTCCTGCCACTGCCTTTTACATGGATATCTATCCAGCTCTGAACCTCTCGAGGATTTTATTATCTGCCTTTCGATACACATGTATTTGAAAATAATTTAACACCTATTTCTGATGAAGTACATTCTATGCCTCATTTTAGTTTCACACTCAGTGAGAGGGTACACACACTTTACAGGACAAAAAAATTAAACCATGACTACTTAGTAAATTATGCATTGTAGTGATTGAAAGACAACAAGCATCAGAGAAAATGTACATGCTGAAGCCTGATGTATCTACTACATTGTGAAATCTTCAGTGATATGACAAAGAATTTGTGGATTTTTCCCCCCAATTACAAGAGAACAGAGGATTTGTCAGACATTGATTCTGTAGCTTCTAGTGTCCACTCTACGCCTCCTTCCTCTTGATGATGAGAGGCCCAACGTTGTCACCAGTTTCCTCGTTGTGCTTTGTGTGAGAGCCATCACACAGTGGGAACTGAAAAAAGAAAGAATAAACACATCTAAAGTACATGCAGAGTCAGAACTGAGAACCTAGGCTGAAAGTTTATTAGGCATCATCTCATTAAATCCACTGAAACCACACACCACAACTTTCATGCCAGCATCTCAGGCCTCCCTGAGTTTTGGCTGAACGCTAGCTTTATCCTTATTAGTGTAGAGCAGACAAGAGGCTTGTTCTAAAACAGCAGCCACCAAACTCCACTCTTTGGTGTTCCTGCCTCAGGTGAGCAGGAGAAAACTACAGCCTGAGCAGACCTTCAGCTGTAACCTACCTGGAGTATCTTACTCTCAACCTTGCCCCACACTTCCTCAGTGCTGCCCTTAAGAGCCACGTAAGTTGAAAGTAATTTGAAGAAATATTTGTTCAATTAAAAAACCCCAAACAAACCCCACCCTAGAACAGCTGGTCAGAGGAAGAATTACAGGGACTCCTTTAGCCAGCTCTAACTGGCCAGGTCCCAGAGAAGTGATAACTGCTGGTCCTGGGAAGCTCTTATCACATGGAAGAGCTGAAATACATTCTGTGAGGCAGTAAGAGTGAGGCTGGATCCCATCACTTCTCAAGGATGCATTTTCAGGGCTATGCCACCTCTGCACAGGAAACTCTGGAGACGATCACAGAAATCACACACCAGTATTTTGCATTCAGTTACCATTTTGTTTGCTTAGAAGTAAAGGGACTGAAAGTTGGGCATTACTCAGCTTTTGCCTCTGCAACAGTACTATTCTCCTGCAGTAGTGTCACAGTCAGTACTCAACATTCCACTGATCTCAACGTTCCTGCTTCAGTCACAACCTTTGAAAAACATTAATACCCTACCACCCATGCTTCATTAGAATAAAAGATTTCAAAGTACTGCAAAAAACCAACACAATGAAACAATATACAGAGCTTTAAAAATAACACCACCTCGTCTGTAGGATAGTGTTGGGAGGGAAGGAGAGAGATGAGGTGTAGAGGTTTTTTTCTGGCTTATCACAGTAATGAAATGTCAAAACCTAAGCTAAAAATGGCATGCAATATTTCTGAATAAAGAAATCTTGAATACTCATATAAGCTGATTCATGGAGAAACCTTCTCAACCCATCAGTCATTTGTGACTCAATGAATAAGTAGTGACAGACACTTGGACAAAATCTCAGCAAACAGGAATGTATGTTCCTGGAACACTGGCCAGCTTTCAACAGATGTTCCTAGGCCAGTTGTTTTCCCATGCAACACCACAATCCACTGGTCTTCACAGATGCAATGACACAACTTCCAGCAGACACTAACATCTCACAAGCTCCAAGGATGCAACCCAAAGTCCAGCTACAGCATCATCACTTCAAGTTTCCAAGCAACAAAAACGGTGGGATTCCTAGGTTCAGATTGCATGCAGACATCTTTAACACCTACCAACAGTGACTGCTCTGCATTCATCCCACTGGTCAGCAGGTCTCAGAACACGGGCTCCCAGGGGCTGGTACACTGGACTTGAGCTCCTCAGGGACAAACACCAAACCAAACACCACTTTCCCAGAGCGCCCACTTGGTCACCTCGAAGACCAGATACTGCATAGGATATTGGGCCTGACACAATGTGTTCAGCCCTGATTGAAAACAAAGCAGGCTAGCAGCAATAGGGGTCAAAGCTCAAACCCCAGGGGAACTGTACAGTGATCTGGACAGCTCAGTTGATTTCCCTTGACACTGAACATGTTTGGATTCTCTAGCACTATTTCTGCTGACAGTCTGCAGCAGTATTCCTCAGCCCACAACGTGGGGACTAACACTTCTCTGGAAGACACAGAGGCTGCATGTCATTGTAAAAAGACAGCAAATTACATTTCCCACGCCCCCAACTCACACCTAAAAATGAAGACAAGTGAAAAAACAAGTGTTCTAACTTTAATTACAGTTTAAAAGACAAAACTCTTGCCTCTACATTGGTAAGTTTGAGTACTGGGTTTTTTCACTAAACTATTCACACTATTTCAGAAAAAAAAAAAAAAAACACCAAAAAAACAAACAAACAAAAAAAAACCACCCCAACAACAACAACAAAAAAACAAACCCAAAAAACAACTGCTCTTTTTTCAAGAATTACTCTAAAATACTCTGGTGTAGTCCAACTGCTTTGTTATTCCATATAGAGGAGCACCATGTGGGACCAGCTGTAAGTGCATGCACAACCATCAGTGCAACAGAAACATTCTGTGGCTCCTAATGCTACTGCTTCTACCAACAGCCTCATGGCTCAGGTGAGCCTGAATCTCAGGAGAAGTGCACAGAGTGACACAAAAGGACATTTCTAACCTTTAGATGCACCTATTTAACAAAAACATGCAGGTACTTCATGCATTCGAAGTAACTGTAATTTCCTGCATTGAAAGCACACACATTCCACATTCTGACACCATATAATTAAAAATTTAAACAGTCAGAGGACTGTGAAAGCCAGATAAGGCTAGCTGACAACTTCCAACTATGACAAGCACGTAAGAATGATGTACTTTATTACTGTTTCACAATAACAAATATGCACACAAACCCTATTAAAGGTTATGCAACCCCTGCTGCAAGGTCAGCCTATGAAGGCAGGAGGAAGGCAATAAAACTGGAAACTACAGTCTTTGAGGTGGAAGATGTTGACTAAAATACTCATCATTAAACAGCAGTAAAAGGAAACAAATACCTTCCAAAATTTCCACTGACCTCCTAAATGCCTTTACAAGACCTTTCAGACCAGAATCCCAAGAATGCATTCATTATAGCCTCATCTACTTTGTTTCTAACTCTGTAGGGCAATGTGCTCCTAAATGGACAATATCCATTAAACATATGCCAAAACATACTTCTTAAGGTTTTTATTTCACACCAAAAAAGGCTAATATCAAACAATAGCAAACAATTGGCAGGAGCTGCAATGCAGCCTGTAACTATCTTCCATTTCTGTTCAGAATATTGAATAGGAAGCAGAAAGCACAAACACCAGGGTTCAAGTAGGGTTTTTTCAGTTCAGACAGAATAAAGAAGACAAGGCCACCTCCACAAGACTATTTCAGCATCAAATCATAATGCTGTTTAATCCTTAGCAGTGTTACACTGTAAAACCCAATTCAGGTACAAATGTGTAAGCTCCTGAGTTACCTGCAAGGTAATCAAGTCAGATCTGACAACAGCAAGAACCCAAAGTTACAGCATCTGGAAATGGCTGAGTTTGGCCTGATGAGACCAATGTCTAAGACTTGAGAAGTTGAGTATTCACCTCCTCGGAGGAGAGAGAGCTAAATTTCAAGGCAGGTGTCTGGCTCTGAAGGTCTGTATTATCTCAGACCCCACACACTGGCACCTCCTAAAAAAGCTTCTAAATGTGCACCAGTGGTAAAGGGAAAGGATTAACCACGCCATCTGCTTTCTCTCATTACAGATCCCAGAACTACCTTTATAGATAAAGTATATACATCTCAGCTACATCAGGTGGATCAGATTTAAAGCTGAGGTACTGTTATTGAGAGGCTAGGTTATCACTAGTTTAAGGCAACTGAAGCAACCCAACTTCAATGCAAGCAAGCCGGACCAATAGTTAGGCCAGACTTTTAATTGCTCAAAAATAGAAGCTTAAAGTATGCCACTGTGATTACACTGGCATACACCATGTACTACTAGCAAGTACTTTCTGATTAAGCTTCCAACTTTCTCCAAAAAGAGATGTTTAAGATCCTCACAGACTGTGTTTCCTCAGCTCCTACTGCCAACAGGCCAATAGTTTTGGATAAGCCTCAGTACCAGCACAGGTAGTACACAAAATGGCATCTGTCATGCATGATCATGCTCCAGACAGTTGCTCCTTTCTCAATTTATCTTCTTCAGATCTACAGGAACATTTTGTCCACTATTAGCACTGATGTGCAGGCTTTACTCTGAGCATCAGAACAAGTGTGCATAATTCTACAGATTAGAATATTGCTACATCTCTGTGCAGAACCGTTCAGGTGAAAAGAGGTTATAAAGCAGTTTAAAAACAGTTTTGCTGAAAGAGTTAATAATTTATGAACAATGAACATAAATGACACTGGACCCATTCATTCTTCTCTTACCTTCTTAGACCTCCAACAACGACAGTACACAGCCTTGTCTCCCAGATCTTCCATATCAAAGGCATGGACTACCTTGGGGTTGTCCTTCTGGATATGAAGATTCACCATTGCCTTGGAGCATTTGCCTTTACAAAAAAGTTTTCTGTAAGCTAGATATCCAACAACAGCTGCTCCAGCAGCTACGGAGACTGCAGCAATCCATTCACCTAGAATAAAAGAAGAAAAAACAAGAGACTGTCAGGTTTTGACCACAACATTCTATTAAAACTACTCAGCAGTAAATGTTTTCATACTTGCAGCAACACCTCTTTACTTTCCAACGGATCTTTTTATTCTGTAGTAGTAACTCTCTACTTTAAAAGAGTATTTTCCTTTGACAGTCACCTAGTTAAAATGCTCTTTTCTATTGATCAGAGTTCTGCTTCACCCAAGTCCTTTCTACACAAGAGTGAGAATTAACCTGGCAGAGTTTCATGGTTTGTTTACTCTTCTACTTAGCAAACCCTGATATTAACATCAGTAGTATGTAGTTTCAAAGCTCAGCATGTTAAACCAGGTATAAGCAGATCCTGGAGCAGCAAAAAAACTGTGTTTGTCTCAGTTGCAAGAAAGTCACTAAAGAAGAACAGTCAGTGCCAACAACCCAAAACTAGGTTTCAACCCCAAAAAGGCAAGGGCACCGAGTAGCTTTTAATAAAATGCATCTTGTAACTAAAAAAACTAAAGCCACTTGTTTGGCAATGGGGAAATTATTAAATATACTACCACCAGTAACAAAAGCCATCTTAGACTACATCCCTACTGTAGTATAGAAGAAAGCACAAGGATCCAAAAAGATTATATTTAATAATCATAGCACATGTTTATTTTAACTAGATTAAGTCCTGAATCTCTGCAAGACAACTTTCATTTAAAAAATCCTCTTACCACAACTCCTCATCCTCACATTTCCTCCCTGTACCGATAAAATTTCTCCAGTCTGTCTTAGCATAATGTCCATTCCTGCAAGAGGTTTTCCTACTTTTTTGTGGCTCTACTGTTTTCTCTCTGCTTCATGAAAATATGCTGGACTTTGGCTCAAAGGTTCAGGTTGCAGCACCAGGTCCGGTTGTTTCCTCTCAGAGTAACAAGTGGCTGCTTTCTTTGCTTTTTATCCACCACTCCCACATACGCATGTGCTGCAAGTTCTGTTTACAGACAAATAAACAGGAATTTAAGTTTTACCACATTTACAGAACTTAATAAAATTAGAACAGTCTCCGGTCTCCTGTCCTTCTATGTTTTAACTGGATTTGTAAGATGCCAAGCTAGATGGCATCTGTGGAACAAGAGACATCACTACGTCCAAGTCTAGGAAGAAACAAAAACCTTTATTAGCCTTGCTACTTTCCATGACCAACTGACTTGCTGTATTTCCACTGAGAGCTTGGACTAAAAGTATCAAGGTTTTCTGTCCCTGTCCCACAGACCTTCCAAAAATCTCTATCAAGCCCTTTCCTCAGCTGAAACACTGACAGGCATCAAACTGATCCACAGGTGTCTGGCTGCAGCAGTACTGGAATCAGACAGCCGTCTGTACAACGTCTGCAGCCCTGTCAGATCTGGGAAGGCAGGCACTCTTTTAGAGTCTTACTAAAGGAGTAAAAGATGCAGAAATCCTTCAGAGTTCATTTTCTTAGTAAATGACACAGGAGAGACCAACATACACTGAGACCTCCCCTGCTAATAAATGACAAACCCTTCCTGTAACAGTAAGATACAGAAAATCATCTTTAACATGGAAGAATTTAGTGCAGGCATGTTTCCCTGCTCCCCAATTCCTTAAAACAACAAAAGCCCCAGAGACCATGTTGTGAATGCTGTGTTTTACATCCATTCAGTGAGTTCTCACCCTTTATTCCCCAGAGTAATGCATTAACTTTGATAAAGAAGCGAGGAAATTAAAATTAAAAAAGGATTCTATGAGAATCTGCTTTAATTTAGCAAAACAGCCAAACTAATCAAAAGAACAACTACAGTTTAAATCCAAGACAAGCAGCTCTCCCAAGAAAAACCACCGCAGCACCTCTGTCCTGGGGTGTGGCAGGGAGGAGGAGCTCAGCAAGCTCAGGGACCTGCTGGGTGTGACAACTTCCAAGCGTCCCCTGCTGAAATGCCCAGCGCAACTACAACAGCAAAAGCAAATCCGAGGGCCTGCTCACTGTGAGGCTTTCGGGGAAGCAGCAATTGCCAGGACTGCCCAAGCTGCTACCAACGCGCTGCCTGTGGGCCAAACCTTCACCTACACCTTCAGTAAGTGATAAGGGCACAGGGGGACCATATCCATTCCCTTGTGAAATCTAAGGGGAAAGAGTGACTTTAATGAAGATCCCAGCTGGCTCCTCGAACTGAAGCACCCTCTAGGTACTGCACCTTAAGGAAGATGATCTTTACTTGTACCTACCTAAAAGTCCAAGAAAATTCAGCAAGTAAGAGGAGGAAAACAAATTGGTAATATTTTTGTGACTCACTACAAGCGAGAGAAGTCTGTACTAAAATTCAGCAGCACATTCAGAAGAGCTGTTCTGCACATCTGCAGCCAGCCCAGCTCCCTCTGGCCATCCCCCATAACTGTGCACATCAGCTCCAGCTCAGCAAGCAGAGATCACAAACTAAATTGTCATCTCATCTTGCAGCGATCCTCTACCTCTTCTCCCAAGGACCAGAGTCATCCTTCACACACACAGGCAAGCTGTACACATATCAACAGCTTCAGGTATTGTTTCTTATAATAGAGGAATGTCTTTTCTACTGTATTACCTTTTTTCAGGTAGTGGCTTCCCTGGAGCCACTTCACTTTTCCCCTTTTGGGATGGAAAATTATATCAACCAATAATGCATTAAATCAAAACATTTAAAGCAGTCTTATTCTTTAAATTCCAGAATTGCCTTAATAAATATAATGAAAATTTAGAAGAAATACTCTAACTTAGTCAATAGACTCTCTGGTAAATCATCCTACAGGGTTTCAGAGGCAGTAAGTTTTGTGTTGTTTCACACACAGATCTAGAGAAGCTGGAACACCCATTTAATCTTTCTAACTAAGTTAACCATAAAATGCATGTGGGAGAAGAACACTTGTATTTTTAAATACCCTGAACTGTTTCAAAAGACCTCTGGTGCCAATTCAACAGTTTGCTGCCAAACTCCTAAGGTCATGCATGAGGCATCTGTAACAGAGTGACACTCATGTGGATGGTCAAGGGGTTTTTACTTCTTCTTAAAATAAAAAGCAGTAGGAACAACTTTTGAGTTATCATTAAAAAACTCCAAATTCTGGTATAATACCAAACCACAGTGTTACAAGACAGGACCTAACAGGCCTAACATGGCAGAAAAAATTGGTTTTGTGTTTTAAGCACTAAACAATGGAAAAAAGTTTGGCTAAAACTCCAGAAAAATTAACACACAAAGGAGAGAAGAGACAGCAAGAGAGATGGAAAGAAGGAAACAAATTTAAAGCATGAGGCCCCAGGAGAGCAACCAGTGCACAGAAGTAAACAAAAAAAATCAAAGACGAGAAAGGCAATAAGACACTGACAGGGATTTATTCTCTTCTGTACTCTTTGGACATATCCTAATGAAAGAGATTTAGATCAAAGTTTCTCCTCCCCTCTTTCTCTAAACATCTAGAACATTGCTCTGGATGTTTCCAGATCTCCACTACGGAGGGAGTTTTTGGATCTGCTAGAGAGCTCTGAGACACTTTATCCTCAAGAAAACACACTTTTACCAACTGCACTGAGAAGTGGACTAAGAAAGTGAAGGTCTTGCCTCCACCAAGATCCTTGTTGAGAACCCAGATCAATTCACATTCTAGCAACTACCAACAAAATGGGGGAGAGCTACACCCTGACAAAGTCAGTCCAAGACCGCCCTAAGAGGCAAGTCGACTTACCTCTGCTGCTAGAAAATATTTATGCTATTCAACAGTCACAGAGTAATAATACCTGACATGAAAACCTGTATTTTGTCTCCAGAAGTGCTTGTAACTTTCAAGCACTTTTGTCCTCATTTTGCTGCCAGTGAAGAGACTACTGTTGTGCAAGAGCTGTTCATGACAGTCCAGTAGTGCCACTGCCCACAGTGAAAGCCAATGATGGAGAAACACATGATACTCACTTACTGAAGAGTCATCCAAGATAAATGGATACACAAAAAGCCTAACAGTAAAAGTCAAGCAGTAAAGCCAACAAAATCATTTCTACAACTCCAAAACATCCACAAAAAATGAGATTATGACTGGCAGGTTTAATTTAACTGAAAATGTATGGTAAAGAGGCCACCTGAGGGAAAAGACTGCTGGATTTCACCAATAAGCAGTGAAAGGCATGTCACAATGACCACATCTGAGGTTGGTGTGGGGTCACACCTGCAAACAACCACACCTCTCAGAACAAAAGCACTAGCTGTGCTACTCGCTACCTTCCAAAGGGCAAATGTGCACAGAAGCAATGAACTCCCTCAACTGCTACCACAAATGAAATCTCACAAAAATACGGTAAGTTTCTGGTGTGTGGTTTTCAGCAGAGAATAAATGATTTTCAATACTCATCAGCCTGCGACACATGCCAGCTGGAGGAAGAACTGTAACCTGCCAGTCACAAGGCACTGATTAAGTTTAATCTCTTCAGAAATCACAAAAACCTAATGCTGTCACTTCCTAAACAGAGCACCCTCCAGACTAATGCCATCAGCTGCTCCTATGCTTTTGTCAGATAATGAGGATATTTTCGGTTTGTTTAGGAGCATATTCTTCTCCCATCTCCACAAAAATTTTCTACTTAATTCCCAGTGTCTAGGAACTGTTCTAATTCTTGCAAGATTATAAATGACAGCAAGCTGCCATTGAGAAGCTATTACCACGCAAGCTATTACCAAGTGATCCTCAGTGATTTGATTATTTTAATAAGCATAGCCTTCCACCACTATAGCCCATTTCAGACTAATGTCTTTGCCACCATCCTCTGTAACAGCAGCTTCCATCCTCCCCCAACCCTCAAAGAAAAAAAAAAAAAATCTGCCTGCTAAATCAAGGACATAAACCATGAGCAGCTTTGCAAGTGGAAACCAGTCATGCACGTCAAGCTCATTTTTTAGAGAAAATCAGGTGATTCAGCTTTCTATTCTATCCTCCACCCGGCCCAACTCTTTCATCCCGTCTGGTTGTGCAACAGAATTCAAACCACACAACGCGATCTCAGGCACGGTTCAAGGCAGTCATTACACAGCGCAAATGTCACCGTTACCTCTACTGTACAGCAGCGGGCATTTAGAGCCACACAAAACCTCTGACATTTACAGATTTTCCCGAAATTTTCACTCAAACAGATGGAACGGCAAAAATAAAACAGCGGTGTCTGAAACGGGCCGTCCCCACTACAGATAAAACCCGGCGGGCGGCCGAGCCCGCTGCGAGGGCCGAAGCACCCGCAAGGGCCCGGCGCGGAGCTCGGCGGCTCCGGGCCCTCACACGGCACCGGGGTGGGACTGGGGGAAGGGGGGCCCCTCAGGCGGAGCCACCACGGTGCGCTCCCCCCTCGCTGACCGCAGGAGGGGTTTGACTGATGAGCGGATCGCACCGGCCCTTCCAGACCCACCGCATCCCGCGGGGACGGCGGCGAGCAGCCCGCCATCTTGTCCCGGGGGTCCGGCGGGGCACGGGGTGCGAGGCGCAGCCGCCCTCCGAGCGGCGCCCCCCGTGCTGCCCGCCCGCGGCCCCGAGCCCCCAGCCCTGCTCCGCCCCTGCGATCAGCTCACACCTCCAGCTCCCGGCCAGCCATACCCCTCACGGCGCAGTTCTGCCCCGGCCCCATCGCTGCGGCTGCCGCTCCGCACCGCGCACGCGCCACTGCCCAAGATGGCGGCGGGGCCGCCCCTTAAAGGCCTCCCGGCAAGACGAGGGGCCAGAGGAGAGGTGGAGGTTACGGGACGTGCGGGACGGCGCCGCGCACAGCAGGAGGGAGGGGCGGACGGGGCTGTCACCGGCCTGACAGCCGGCACAGGGCCCTCAGGGAGGCCTCCGCAGCTGTAAAACGAGTGTTGGGCACCGCTGTGCGCCATGTGCAGACACTGGCTCGGCGCGGGGCCGCCGCTCTCGTCTGCTCGTGGTGCTGTCAGTGCCCGACAGCTCTGCAAAACGCTTAGGGCAGATCGCTGTATGAGCTCTCTTCTGTGTAGTTGTGGAAAGGTGAAGCTGAAAAGTGACAGCCCCCTCGAACCTCATAAACTTGGGTATAGATGAGAGAATTTCTATACCTCAAAAAAGTATTATTGACGTTCTATACCTGATAAAGGACTCGCTACTCTGGGACCTCGTTTATGGCTGGACCTTATAGCGAAGATGTGTGCTTATGTCTTTACAAAATACTTCCATGGGTGAGGGGATGGGTGTTCATGTCTTTGAAATGCGTTTTAATGTCTCTACCAACTTCAAGCCACAGGTTTGTTACAGAACCCAGACAGTCTGACTCCAGAACAGACACATGGAGAACACACAAGCCTGGGTTTCTGAGCTTTGGGGGAAAAATGATATATTTAAGGGGGAATATGTGCTAGGCAGTTCAGGAAGGCTGTACCTCCCTAGTACCTCAGCCGATGGGGAAAGGAAGAGGGCAACGTGCAGCCGGGAGTTCAGGGCAAAAGGGGCTGTGTCCTCCAAACCTCGAGGGAGAAAACCCTGCGGGTGTGTGCCTCAGTGGACTCTGCGTGATTCTTGCGCACTGACTCGATCTTAGAGGTCTCTTTCAACTTTAATGATTCTATGACCTGTTCAACAGACTTTTCAACCCACACGTCTACTGCTTCTGTCACACACCATGAGGAACATGACACACCTTTTCCTTGTACGCAGTTCTGAAGCTTCACACGGTCACTCTCCTCTTCCTCACCTCTCCAAGTGCCGGCCGTGACTTTTACCCCGGTGTTCACCAGACACTGACACTCGCTGTTTCCCACTCGCGCCCTCAGACCCTGAGGGCCGGGCCGAGACTTCCGCACCCGCGCAGCGCCGCCCCGCCCGCGGACTACGCTTCCCAGCGAGCCCCGCGCGCGGCGGCGGCTCCGCATGCGCAGGAGGACACAAAGGGCACGGCTATTGCGCCCCCGCCCCTCCCGCTTGCACGGCGCGCGCTCCCGCCGCCCGCCCCGCCCCGGCCGCGCTCCCGCCCCGCGCTCTCGCCGCCTGCTTCGCGCTTCCGCCGCGCGTCCCTATGGCGCTGAAGCGGATACAAAAAGTGAGTGGGGCCGAGCCGTGGGAGGGGGTGGAAAGGTTCTCCGTCCCTCGGGGATGCACCCTTGATGCCGGGGGTTGAGGCGGCGGCCGGAGCGGGCTCAGCGAGCGGTGTCGCGGCAGCCGCTGCCGCGCGCTTTCTTTGCCGGGACTCGTCCTTCCTCGCCGGCAGCCGGGGAAGAAGAGCGGGTGTGAAACGGAGAAGGAGGGGCTCTTGTCGGCCGCCTGAGGGTTTCGGGACTGTGCCTCCTGGAAGGCCCCGCAGCCCGTGTCGGGGCTTTGAGGCGCCGTTGGGGCAGCCGAGGGAGCGGCGAGAGCCGGGTGCTGTGGAGCCTTCCCTCGGCGCGCTTGTGCGCGGCTGCTGCCCGCCTTGGGAAGCGGTGTCAGCAAAGCTCTTGCTGTGACCTCTGAGCGTCTCCCAGCTGTAGTGTTTTGGGCTGGTACTTGTCGGTGGCCTGGTTCGAGCTGTGAATTCCCGGTTTCCTTTTGTTCGGCGGGGCTGGGCTGGTCTGTGCCGTGCGGAGCGGGGACCGCAGCACGGGAGGGAGCTGAGCTTGGGGCTCCGGCCGTGGAACGGAGCCCGGGCTGGTCGCTTGCCCTTGCTGTGCCATATTTAGGCGGCATCGGTGCTATCCTGCTTACGTGACGGTGCGATTATTTCTTGTGCAGGATTCCCTTTTGCTATCGGAAGCCATTGGTATTGCAGAAATAGGATTCTATAGTGACCGATTAACCCCGCAGTAGGCAGATTTGGGATACTCTACAGTAGGTACCAACTTTGGATGGATTTCTACCAGAAGCTGGTAATCCTGCCTCATGCTGCAAAGCTTATCCCTTTACACATAGTGCAATTACAGAACAATTTTGTTCCTTCATATCACACGTTTGTCATGAATGTTGTATTCGACCAATATATCAAACTACTACAGTGGTTTTCTTTAGCAATAACTTTGTCGTGCTTCTCCATGTTATACAAATGGTTTGCCACTTTAATTTCCCACATCTTCTTGAACATCTCTTTACCCTAGTTTCAAGAAAAGGATTGTTCTGAATACCATCTCTTTCCAATTCTTGTTCATCTTCTTTCTGCTAAGATAAGCACACAGAGGGGAAAGTCTGTTCATATGGTATTTTTGAGATGAAGTGGTGATTTGGGGCTTTCCAAATGAGGTCCTGCTAGAATAGAATTAGTCTTCGTACTTTTACCATGTTGCCTGCATAACTTTCTTTTGCTTTAGAGACATTCATACATATTGGAAAGCCACAGTTTTCTTTAACGTGGCATTTAAGAACTTTTGATAGATGTGAAATTATGGTTAGACTTTTTATCTAAGTATCTTTCTTTCTGTTAGCCTTATTAAATTCTGTTTCTACTCTCAAAATGAAGCAATGCTTTCCAATCTGCTGACTGCGAGGTGCTATGAGATTTCTTGATTATACAATAACTTCTGCCTGAAACATGAAGAGATACTGGGTAAGGACCTCCAAGAAGAGTTGAGATTAAATTCAGAACTAGTTACCATTTGCTTCTAGTTTGCTGCAGAAATGACTACTGCTGGTTTTCTTTTTTTTTCCATTAACTGTCCTCATCACTCTCCTCTGCCTTTCCAGGAGAAGAAAAAATTCTACTAGAGGGATTGGGCTAGCAGTCTTTGTCTCAAGAAGTAAAAGAGGAAAGGGAATGGCAAGGAAATAAGTTTGTTTCAAATGGAAAGTTCAAACGAAGTGAAGAAGTTTGAAAAGACAAACTATTTTGATGTCATTGTAATGCATAAAATTTTCCTCAAAAATCATGGAAATGGAAGTTTAATGGTAGATGAAATGTATTTGTAGGTGTGTTTGTCTCCTCTTCTTTCCTGGTGTTTCAGACTGCCTGTAAAGGTTCATAGTTATGTTGTATCTGAAGGATGGGAAGGGATAAGATCTGGAGTAGAGGAAGTGCTGTGGTTTGAGTGCCTAGAGGAATTCTTTGGAGAACAAAACACTGTCAGCAAACACTGTGGTATTGCCTGGGAGCTCATCAGTCTAGACAGACTGTCTGAATTTAAGCTTCAGTGGGTTTACGGTGCTTCAGAATTGTGCTTAAACAAAGGAATTTTGGTGTCAAGCTTGAGTGTTTGTTCGCAGTAATTTTGATAATTTGTGTTTTCAGTATGACAACACCTACAAAGGAAGCAAAGCTATAATATATCAACCTGTTAGTAAGCATATTTTCTGTCATACTTGGTGGGACTCTGATTTCTAAGAGATATTGCCACTGGGATCTGTGTCATTGCATCCTGCCTTTGGCTGGTCATCTTCAAGGGGCTCCTCAAAGGAGGATAGCATGTGGACTTCCAAGACTAGTCACAGAAAGACATATTGTGCTTGAGAGCTTTCTTAAAAAATGGGTAACTGAGTAACCAGTGGAGAAGCTGATCTGTGCCCATGGAGGCATGTTGATCCTAGTGCTGATCTCTGCCCATGGAGGCATGTTGATCCTAGTGCTGATCTCTGCCCATGGAGGCATGTTGATCCTAGTGCTGATCTCTGCCCATGGAGGCATGTTGATCCTAGTGCTGATCTCTGCCCATGGAGGCATGTTGATCCTAGTGCTGATCTCTGCCCATGGAGGCATGTTGATCCTAGTGCTGATCTCTGCCCATGGAGGCATGTTGATCCTAGTGCTGATCTCTGCCCATGGAGGTCTGTTGATCCTCATGCTGTAGGTGGAAGAACAGGGAGGACATGAAGCCCTGCTCTGCAGGCACAGCTGTCAGCAGTGTCTCCAGGACAAACTCATCTCAGAGTTCCTCAGAAAGTTTGGGGTCAGGGGGTTCTTACTCATCATAAGCTGAGGATCCTGTGTTCATTTGCCTTGTGAGTGCTTTGCTGTTGTAGTTCAGTTATACTGTCTGTGATGTTCCTTGGGGCGGTGAAAGAACAGCACATTTTTGTTGAGAGAGGCACTGAATTTCTACACTCTCCAAAAAGTTCAGTTACACTGTCTGTGATGTTCCTTGGGGCGGTGAAAGAACAGCACATTTTTGTGGGCAGGGTAAATTCCAGATATTGCAAATGATGAAAGCAAAACAAATAGTGTTTTAGTTGGGAAGAAATACTGTGCAAAGAAGCCTTTATTCTTGTCACCTCTGGAAAGTGAGATACCATGACTTTTGTGAAAGGTGGAAAATAATTCAGGCTGTCAGGTTCTGCAGAATAGTTCTGCCCATCTGTCTTATGCAGAACCATTTTTCTGGGGTTCCTGTTCCACATTCTTTGTTCACATATCTAATTGGCAGAGTTTGCCATCCTGTTAGTTCCATATTGCAGCTGAGATTGTTTTCGTCACAAGTCCTTTACCTGGGTGCTCCTCCAGTCTTAGTGGGAGGTTGATGTCCTTGTTAATGTTCAGGCTGTCTTGTACATACTTTTGTTGAGGCATAAAAAAAATAGGATTTCAAGAGATTTTAGAAGACATTTTGAAACCAGGAAGGAGGAGATGGATTTGAACACTGCTTTAAGAATAGCTGTTGTTCTTATCTTATTGGTACATAGTGCTTGATTGGTTTTCTCCTACAACTCAGTAAGAATAGAAGCATTCAAACATTGAGTTGTTTCAATGAACTATAGGTCTCTGAGGTTCAGTATGTGTTTCATATATGCATAGGCTAACAGGACATACTAACTTGAAAAGTTATGTTGAATATATCTTTTGTAACTGTAAATTGACTCAAAAATTATTGATATTTGTGGTTTAGATTTTGACTTTAAACCTGCAGCCTTTAGATGGTAATCAACATAACAAGGAAACTTTTTTGGCTCTAATATAAAGTATTTGAATTTGCTTTCAAAACTTCAGCTGGGA